TTTTAACACCGTACTTTCACAAAGAGATAGATCAACTAAACAAAAAACCAATATAGAAATATCAAAGCTGAACCACACTCTTAAACATATGGACTTAATATATACAATGTTGCACCCCTCTACAACAAAATATGCCTTTTTAGCCACACATGGTCCTTTTTCCATAATATGTAGATCACATTCTAGTCCACAAAGCCTACTTAAGTAAAAAGAATTGAAATTATCCCATATAAACTATTAATTACTGTGCAATTAAAATACAAATCAACAACAGAAGAAATTTCAAAAAAGGCAAAAGCTCTAGGAAAATTAACAACATACTCCTAACAACCAATGGCTCACAGAAGGAACCAAAGAAAATATTTTAAAATTTCCGGAAATTAATGACATGATGGTAGAACTCAACCAAACCTCTGGGATACTATGGAAGCAATTCTAAGAGGAAAATTCATCATAATCAATGCTCACATTTGGAAAACAAAAAGCTCTAGTAAGTAACTATACAAGATACATTAAGATACTTGAGAAACAACAAACCAGCCCCAAACCAAAATTAAGAAAGGAAATTATAAAGATGAGAGTGGAAATTAATGAAATTGAGGGCCGGGGATTTAGCTCAGCAGTTCGGTGGCCTGCCTCGCAAGCGCAAGGACCTGAGTTCAATCCCTGGTACCAAAAAAAAAAAAATTTAATGAAATTGAGGCTAAAAAAATTAACATATCAAAGATCTGGTTCTTTGAAATAATAAAATAGATAAACCCAAAGTCAGACTTACCAAGACAGAGAAAAAAGACTCAACATCCATGCAATTAGAAGTGAAAAGGTGAAATGACAATAAATACTGTGGAAATCCAGAAGATAGTAACTACTTCGAAAAATTATATTCCAACAAATTAGCAAATGTTGAAAAAATAGATTCCTAGACACAATACAAACTACCAAAACTAACCCAAGAAGACATTAATATGCTCAACAACCCAAACACAAGCAATGACACTGACACAATCATAAAGAATCTACGAAATATAAAAAGCCCAGAACCTGATGGATTCACTGCTGAATTCTACAAAAGCAATAAAGGATATTATATCACCAATACTCCTCAAGCTCTCAGGAGAAACTGAAAGGGATGGAGCACTCCCAAACTCATTTACAGAAGCTAGAGTCACCCTGATCCCAAAACTGGATAATTACCCAATTGAAAAAGAAAACTAAAGGCCAATCTCTTCAATGAACATAGATGCAAAAACCCTCAACAAGATATTAGCAAACAGAATGTAGCACATTATCTAAAAGATGATACATCATGATCAAGTAAGTTTCATCCCAGAGATGCTAGGATGGTTCAACATCCCTAAGACAATAAATGTAATACATTACATAAAACAGAAGCAAGGTTATAAACCATAGAATCATATAAATAGTTGAAAAAAAGGCTTTCAACAAAATCCAACACTGCTTAATGATAAAATCTTTGAGGAAAACAGGTATAGAAGAATCATACCAGAATATGATAAAAGCTATGTATAGGGCCAGGGATTTAGCTCAGTGGTTCTGCTGTCTGCCTCATATGTGCAAGGTCCCCCCAAGAAAAGGTCCAAAAAAAAAAAAAAAAAGGAAGCTATGTATGATAAACCAATACCAGAATCATACTAAATAGGGAGAAACTACAAGCACTGCCCCTAAAAACAGGAATAAAACAAAGATGTCCATTATTTCTTCTATTTAACATAGTATTTGAAACATTAGCCAGAGCAATTAGACAAGAGAAGGAGAGGGGAAGAGATAAAGGGCGGAGAGAGGAGTAAGGAAAGGAAAGGGAAATGGGAAGGAGAGATACATACATACATGAATGAAAAGAAGAACTCATTTATCATTATTTGCAGATGATAAGAGACTCTACATAAAAGACCCAAACTCTTAGAATTAATAATCAACTTCACCAATGTACCAGGATACAAGACCAACATGAAAAAACCATTAGCATTTACATATACCAATAATGAACTGGATGAGAAGGAAATTATGTAAATACTATTCACAGTAGCTGCCAGAAAAATGAAATATAGTTAAGTCCCTGACTTGTGACCATTTGAGTTGAGAACTTTCACATATACAAAAGGACCCCTCATTTGGGTTTTTTTGTGGTACAAGAGTTCAAACTCAGGCCCTTGTGCTTGTGAGGTAGGTGGCGGAACCACTGAGCCAAATCCCCAGCTCGGTTTTTTTATGCTTTACATTGTACACTTGTGTCAAAGGTGTGTAAGACTCACTGTGTTGGACTCAGAGACAAATCTCACTTATAAATATTCTCCCAGAATAGAATTTGTTTGAAAGTCAGGGACTCACTGCACCTAGGAATTAACCCAACCAAGGAAGTAAAAGCCTTCTACAAAGAACTACAGTACTCTGAAAAAGGAGATCAAAGAAGACATTAGAAAATGTCTCCTGCTCCTGGATAGGCAGAACTAATATTGTCAAAATGGCCATACTTCTAAAACTGTTATACAGATTTAATGCATTCCCAATCAAACACCAACAGCACACTTAACAGATCTAGAGAAAACAATCCTAAAATTCATCCAGAGCTCAAAGAGTCCAAGAATAACAAAAGCAATTCCAAGCAACAAGAGCAAAGCAGGAGGCATAACAATACCTGACTTTATACTACAAGCAATAGTGATAAAAACAGCATGGTATTGGAGATATTGTATGTGTATCAATAAAAGAGAAATGAGCATACAGATACTTCTCCTGACACATGCAGCTATTGTATCTTTGACAAAGGGGCCAAAAGCATATGTTGGAGAAAAGACAGCCTATTCAACAAGTGGTGCTGGTAAAACTGCTTATCTGTTTGCAAAAGATTGAAACTAAACCCTTATTTCTCAACATATACTAAATTAAAATAAAAATGGAACAAACATTAATTGATCTCTGGCACCAAAAAAAAAAAAAAACAGAAATATTAAACTCACTGGAAGATAAAATAGGTAAAACACTTGAAGACAAAGGTGTAGGAATTTTCCAAACAGAATCTCAACTGCACAAGAAATAACAGCAAGAATCAATAAATCAAATTATATCAGACTAAAAAGCTCCTGTAAAGCAAAAGAATCAATTAGTAGACAAGAAACAACCTAGAGAATGGGAAAAAAAATTTGCCACCTACTCCCCAGACAGAGGACTAATACATTAACCCACATAAAATTAATGACCCAGTCAAAAAATGGACAAGGTTCTGGGTTTGTTAGCAACATAAAAAAATAAAAAAATACATTTTCTAGTTTCCTTGTGGCTATGGGTGACCACACACTTGATAAAGGAGTGTGGATAAGGTATATAATGGAGATTTCTAGAAAACTTTTGCTTTCCTGATTCAGCCTAGAGGAGGAGCAGCTACTTTTCAGCCATGAGGCAAAGATGCAATTGAAAAACATATGCTAAGGGTGAAAGAAGAGAGACTTCAGAAGCTTGGGACACTGATAACATCAAGGAACCAGTACAACCAGCCCTGGATTACATACAGCTGTGAAAAATGAACTCCTATTTGAGCAAACCACTATAGTATAGTCAGATTTGTTACATGAGGCCTAGAATAATTCTTAGGTGATAAATACAGACTCAGAAATATGGCTAGCTTTACTTGCCTTCTCACAAAGAGCTCTGGGACAAAAAAGTAACATACAAACACAAAGATGGGGAGTCCATCATTATTTCACATTTATAATATTAACTAATTCTAGGATACTAAAGAGTCATGGAGCAGCTTACTCCATTTGGTCATCATCTTCTCATAAATGTGGAAAATAATTAAGCTGTAGTGCCCAAAAGGAGGTCAAGACTATACTATACAGTGGACCCTCAAGTTACGACCAGCCTGACATACTACTTAGGTTAATTAGGTTAATGGAAGATTCATCTGCCTCTTGTTATCTATAGCATGTAACCAGGGAAACATCCAGAGCTCAGCTGTACTGACTTACAATCAACTTGAATTACAACCAGCCCTCGGGAACTGACTGAGTTCATAAGTCAAGAGTCCACTGTACTTGCTTCAGACCAAAGGTTATAAGCCAGCAGCCCATAAAGCCTATTCTAACCCTCAGACCATTCTACTCCATCTGCTGCAGTGATTTCACATATAAATACAAATTTTCCTTAAAACTCTAGACAATATGGCAACAACAGATTGGAAGTGCAATTGGCTAGAGCAATTATCCTTTAAATGGCAGCCCTCTCCACTTTAGCACATTCCCTGTGCCCACACAGCTTTACTCATTAACAATATATGCCTGACTCCTGTAAGAAAATCCACCTTGAAGCCCTGCTTTAAACCTTATAATTAATTCTAGTCCTCTTTTTTTTTTTTTTTTTGAGCTGGGGGCAAGGGGGATCTCAATATGTAGTCCATGGGCCTGGGATTTAGCTCAATGGTTCCGCTGCCTGCCTCAATATGTAGGCTGGACTGGCCTTGAACTGTGTAGCCCATCAATTCTCCTGCCTCAGCCTCCCACGTGCCAGAATCAGGTATAAACCACCACATGCTGCTCTATAGCCCTCCTTAAATAATATCATCTATAACAATCTCACTGTCAACTCTTCATTATTCAATTAAGATACAGGTGATACACCCATTTACAATGCCCTTTTACCTGGCAGCACATTTTGAAGACAACAGTACATAAAGCCACAAATGAACTCAAGCAAATACAGGGCTTTGCACATGCTAAGCAAGCACTCTACCACTGAGCTACATCCCCAGCATTTTTTTTTTTCAGCCCTTTTTATTTTGAGACAAGGTCTTGTCAAGTTGCCTACACTGGCCTCAAGCTTACCATCCTCCTGCCTCAGCCTCTTGAGTACCTGAAATTACAGATGTGTACCACCATGCCCAGCTATAAACTCAGGATATTCTTTAAGATCATCTAAAACTGTTCTGAATTATCAAAACCTGGTTATCTTAGAAAGTCATAAAACTGATCTTTCCTTTTCTTTACCTTTCATAACAGCCTGAAGTGAAGCAACTTCCTCCCTCCACTGCCTTTTCACTTCATCTATGGCTTCTTGTTTGGTATTTTCAGAGACTGTGGCAATAGCCTTAATATTCTCCATTTCTGCTTGTGCTTCCCACAGCTGTGTTCGAAGGTGTCCCAAATCATCTTGCGCAGCTTGTAGCACTGCATTTTGCCTTTTCAGATCCTCTGGAAAAAAGTGAAAGACTTTTCAATAATGAGGGGTTCACTTTATCAGGATAATAAGCTAGTGAAGAAATCAGATTTCAAAATGTTAACACTGAAAGTAACACAATTTTAACAGAGGTGATATTTTGTTTCTCAAAAATTTTTATCTCAAAGCTATTCATTTCACAGTTAATAAGGTGTATGGTTAATGCTCTGTGCCAGTATTACCAGGCTTGACCATTGCTGGCAACGGACACTGAGAAAACCCATTTCATGGCACCCAAACATTAATTATTTTTCAAAATATACCGAACTCTCAATACTTGCAAAAATATTACATGCACCATTTCCCCACCATTCTTCTTTATTAATCTACATCAGTAGGTGTTAAAGTGGAGTCATTTTAACGGATTATAACTGTAAAAGTCAAAATATCACTAATATTAGAATATCTTACAAACAGTACATTACATAGTACCCTGCAATCTGAAACATTATACTCATATTTGTGAATGCTTATTTTAGATAACTGAAACTTCACAGAATTTAGCAGCAGTTTTAAAAGTTTAGTTCTGTACATAAGTTCTGACTATATTTTATAATCTTTAGATTTTTAAGGCCCAAGTCATATTGCCATATCCAAAATCAGCTAGGTTTTCTTCCAATTTCAATGCTAATGTAAATGGTAATTATAGTTTTAGTTTCAAATTCCATTTGTTCATTACTATTATATAAGAAAGCAACTGATTTTATAAATTGACCTTGCTATACTTGATTAGCTAAAGGAGTTTTTCAATTCTTAAGATTTTCTACATAGAAAAAATGACATCTGTAAACAAAGACAATTTTATTCTTCCTTTCCAATCCTTAACCTTTCATACCCATTTCTTCACTTATTGCATTTGCTAGCACTATGTTGAAAACTGGCAGTGAGTAGATATTTGTGCTCTTTCTAGGAAAGCTTCAAATCGCTCATCATTAAGAAAGATGTTGTTATAGGTTTTCTATAGATTTTCTTTATAAGGTTGAGAAAATGCTATTCTATTCTTCATTTCCTGAGTTTTTATTCTGGAGCAGGTGATGAATTCTGGCCAGTGATTTTTCTGCATCTACTAACATGACTGCAAGACTTTTCATCTTCAGCATGACACAGTGCTACATACCTGAGTCAAGTGTCCCTGGGCTGCAAGTGTATCTATTTTCATACATTGCTGGTTGGATCTACTGATTTCTGAACATAGGATCATACTGACCTCAACAGAATGAGTAAGTATTCTTTGTCTATCTTCTGAGAGAGATGGTAGAGAACTGGTATAATTTTCTCCAGAAAATACTTGGACTATTTACCAGTGAAGCCAACTGGACACAGTGCTTTAATTTTTGGCAAGTTATTTTATTTTATTTTTATTTATTTATTTTTTGATAGCAGGGATTGAACTCAGGACCTTGCACTTGCCAGGTGTCGCATCACTGAGCTACATACCTGACCCTAATTTAACAATCTCCCCCCAGCCGTAAAGTTTACCATTTGCATTGAACTTTTCAAAGCACCCATTTTTAATTTTTATTTTCAATCCAGTTTTCACTTTCACCAACTTCACAAACTTTTTGCAGTGTCATTAGTGATATATAATTGACTTACCAAACAATTCACCTAAAGTGTACAATTGAATGATCTTTTTAGCTTATTTGCAGATATGTACATAATCACAATCAATTTTACAGAATTTTTATGACCCCAGAAAGCAATCCTGGATCCTTTATCACCCTCCAACTCCTTAGCTCATCAGCCCTAAACAGCTACTAATCTACTTTTATCTCTGTAGATGACCCATGCAGGACATTCATGTAAACTGAACCATATAATACACTGTCTTTTCTAACTGGCTTTGTTCACGTTAGTATTGTTTTCAAGGTTCATTCAGTACATTTACTTTCTTCTTTTTCATGGATGAGTAAGAGAAAAATCACATTTTGTTCATTCAATCAACAGCTGATGTAAGTTTTATTTCTGGGTTTTCAGTTCAATTCCACTGACCTGATTTGTATGTGTAATCTTATGCCAGAGCCACACTGTCTTGATTAGTGCTGTTTTGCAGTCAATTTTGAAAGCAAGAAGCCTGAGTTTTTCCCCTTTGTTCCTTTTTTGAGAATTGTGACTATTCTAGATCTCTAGAATTTCCATATACATTTCAGGATCAGCTTGTAAATTTCTACAAAGAATCCAGCTGGGATACTGAAAGGCACTGCACCAACTAACTCTTCAGATCTCCAAAGTAATGCCTCATAATAGTACTAAGTCTTCTGATCCATGAACATACAATGTCTTCCCAATTATCTAGATCTCCTTTAATTACGACTCTTTCTCCCCAGTACTAAGGATTGAACCCAAGGCCTGGCACATGTCAGTCAAGTGTTGCATCACTAAGCTGTATCTCCAGACCTTTTAAATTTTATTTTGAGATACAGTCTCACTAAATTGCCCAGGCTGGCCTCAAACTTAGCAATCTCTTGCCTCAGCCTCCCAAATAGTTGGCTCTTTAATTTCTTTTAAAAGTGTTCTAAAACAAAGGGGAAAAAAAGTGTTCTAAAGTTTTAACAGCATAATTCCTGAACTTATTTTGTTAAACTTATTCATAAATACGTTATTTAATTTTATTGTAAGTAGAACTGTTTTAAATTTCAGATTTTTCATCAGAAGTGCACAGAAATACAACGAAATTTTTTTTTTCTTTGAGACAGGGTCTCAATATGCAGTTCAGGCTAGCCTTGAACTCACTGTGTAGCTCAGTCAGATCTTGAACTCGAAGGAATCCTGTCTCAGTCTCCCAGGTGTGGCCCAACAGATTCTTATATATTGCTCTTATATCCTATATTTTGCTGAGCTCATTCATTGTTTCAAATAAGTTTTTAGTGGATTCCCTTGGAATTTTTTTATATGAGCCTCATCCCCAAAAATAGCTAAGTAGCCAGGCATGGTGGTGTATGCCTACAATCCCTGGGGAGGCTGAAACAAGAAAATCACAAGTTCGAGAAGCATCATTCTAGGGCCGGGGATTTAGCTCAGCGGTTCGGTGGCCTGCCTTGCAACCACAAAGGACCTGAGTTCAATCCCTGGTACCAAAAGAAAAAAGAAAATCACAAGTTCGAGGTCAGCCTGGGCTACATAAGTGAGTTCAAGGGCAGCCTCAACTATATAGCAAGGACTTTTCTCAAAAAAAAAAAAAAAAATTAGTTAAATAGTTTTACTTATTTCCTTTCTCATCTGTAGTCCTCCTGTGTTCATGCTTCCTCCCTCTCTCTCTTTTCTTTCTCCCCCATAACTCCCATCCCCAAATTAACCTAATGGCCCTGAATAGAACCTCTGATGTTGAATATAAGTAATGCAAGTGGATATAATTTTCTTGTCGCAGAGTTTAAGGGGAAAGCATTCAGACTTGAAACATTTTTAAGCAAAATATTAGTAACTTTAGATATACATAATGATACTTCATCAGATGGAATTTGTACCAATACATGATATATCTTCACAGTTTGTTTGTTGTTGTGTGTGTGTGTGTGTATGTGTATACCAAGGATCAAACTCGACTTCTACAAAACCCACAGTGAAACAACAGTCTGATAAATCCAAGATTTGTAAAAACTATGCACAAAACCCACAGAATCTGAGAAAAGGGGAAGTATTTATACAAGTAGCAGTTTTGAAAATGTAACTTTGTTCTACCAATTATATATTAACATACACACACTTACTGAAAATATGCTACAACCATGTGTGTAAAAGCAGTTTAACATTTTCTAAGTGGACTTCACCCCACATTTACTGTGCAATATAGCTGTTAGTACTGCACAAGTACAATTAGCAATAATGTTTAATAACTTTTAAATGAAGGTAAAAGGATATTTTCCCCTCAAGTTTTAAACATCAAAACCTATGCTTATAAAAATTTAAAACTTTCACAGTCTAAATATTTCAAAGGAAAACTACTACAAACTTCTCAAATGTTCTTTATAATCCAGGTACTGTATATCAATCTACTTATCCACTGTGGACTCCTTCAGAGATATTTTAGTCTCTCTCTCTCTTCTCTGGATGGCTTTTTCTTGCCGTCAGTCTCACGGTTGTCTTTGCTTTCTTCATTGCTGTCTCTATTGTGTTGTGGCTGATTCCTATCTTGAGCATCAGACCCTCCATTTAGTCTTTGAACCTGTTTGTTCCTTTTCTAGCTTGTGAGGAAGGCAGCAGCACCACTGAGCTAAATCGCTGGCCCAGTGTATGATATATCCTGCTTCTTTTTTCCCCATTCCTTCCCACTTCCTTTATGTACAAACGCTTTGTTTACATTTTTTCCCCTCTTTGGTTTTTTGAGACAGGGTCTCGCTATGTAGTTCAGACTGCCCTGGAACTCACTGTATAGCCCAGGCTGGTCTCGAACTCACAGCAATTCTCCTGCCTCAGCCTCCCGAGTGCTGGGATTATAAAGAGTGCGCCACCATGCCCAGCTTGTTTCCGTTTTTTCCCTTTGATTTTCTCTTTTTTTCTCGTGCCTTCTTTCCCCCTCCCCCTTTCTTGTTCCCCCTCTCATCTGAACATTTTCTTCTCAGTTCCCAATGTTTATTGTACATATCACTCCTTCTTTCTACTTTCGGTTTCTTGTATCAGAGAAAAAAATACGGTATTTTAAACATATGTGTTCGGGCCGGGGATTTAGCTCAGCAGTTCGGTGGTCTGCCTTGCAAGTGCAAGGACCCAAGTTCAATCTGGTCTCAAAGTGCATCCATTTAGCTATGAATGTCTCAACCCCATCATTCTTATGGCAGAGTGGTACTCTACTGTATTTAAAAAAAAAAAAATCCCACATCTTTATCCATTTCTCGGTTGATGAGCATTTGCGCTGTTTCCAAGATTTAGCTATAACGAACTGTGCCGCTATAAACATGGGTGTGAAGGGCCGGGGATTTAGCTCAGTGGTTCTGGTGGCTGCCTCGCAAGTGCAAGGACCTGAGTTTGATCCCTGGTA